GGTGGTTTCTTAAAGAGATCATATTTCGAGATAGAATTATCTTTCTTTTTGAGAAATAAACTTCAAGTTTTTCGAGATCCTTTTTTTTTTTTTTTATGTAGCAAGGTAGAAGTCATAACGAGCTTTGGACTTCTTCTGAGATGACTGGCCAGATCCATTTTGGCCTGTAGTATTACCACATGAGAGCTCTTTGGTTATCCCTGAGATGGGGAGGTGGGCTGAGGGACTTTTCCTGGGCAGATCTCATCAGCCTCGCCCAGTTGTGGAACCGCAGTTGGCACGCAGTGTGTTGCGGGTTAACCCTGGTAGTTAGCTAAGCACCACACAGCCGCTCACTTACTCCCCCACCGCCCACCCCCAGGCGGGCAGGGGAAAAGAAAGGAAGAGTAAAAGCAAGAAAACTCATGGGTCGAGATGAAAATAATTTAATAAGCGGAGAAGTGGAAGAAAAAAGAAAAAACAAAACAAAAGAAGTGATGCAATGGCAATCACTGACCACCTCCCGTGGGCAGACCGGCAGACAGCCAGTTCCCAAGCGAAAGATAGCTAACCTTACCAAAACGTCGCTCCTCTCCGTTTTACTGCTGAGCAGGACGTTACATGGCATGGAATATCTCTTTGGTTAGTTCGGGTCGCCTGCCTGGTTGTGTCCCCTCCCAAGCTCTTGCGCGCCTCCACTCTACTCGCTGGGCGTGAGTGAGAAACAGAGAAGACCTTGATGCCGTGCACAGGCTGTTCAGCAACAGCCAAAATACTGCTGTGTTATCAGCATTGTTTTGGTCACAAATCTAAACCAGAGCACCATACCGCCTGCTACGAAGAATAACTCCGTCCTGGCCAGGCGCAGTACAGGGTGGTACCGTCGGCAACCCCAGCACAGAGGCAAACACACCGAAAGACCCTGAGAGGCAAACTCCAGCAGGTGACCGCACCAAGCAGCGTGTGGGCCTCCGGCAGCGGAGCTGGGGAGCCGAGATTTGCAGTCTGCCGCGTAATGTTCCTTCGCATAGACAGAGGCTTAAAACAGAAACCTTCCTTTCTCTTTATAGGAGTGGCAAATGAGAATGTGAAAATTAAAAGATATAAAGTTAAAAATTAGCCATTGTGGAATGCAGTTGGAAACCATTCACCTTTAAACTAATTTAATCTCTAAGCAAAAAAAGTAGAATTGCTGTGGTGGCCACATGTAGTTATCTAAATGTTATGATTTGGTCATGTAATACACCTGTTCATATTTAACCTTAAAAAATAAGAGAAGAGCCACCTGCATCACTTCTGGTGAAGCTAACTCCAGAGAATATTGGCTTCTCTGCTGAAGCCTAGGTACTCAGCTGGTTTTTGCTTCAGTGCAAACAGTATTACACACTGCATATGAGGAGTTCTCCAGCTTTGCAGGTGGGTTGTGTCTATAAAAGCTCTATTTCTGGACACGCTGATAGCTCATGAATAATTTTGTATTTTAAAGTTTGTTGCTTGGCTAATGAATATTCTTCTCAGATATTCTTATGTAGCTGCATTGGCATGAATATGAGATTTCTGCTTCTACTTCACTTGCTTCTGCTTATTTCCCAGTTGAAATCAAGACAAATTAATTCTTGGTTTGGCCTCGTCCATTTTTGTTGGAGTGCACTGTACATGAATTTGGCTACAAACCTGTGTAAGTAGGTGCCTGAAGAGATGATATTCTAGATGGTTTCAGGTAATTATAAAATTGCACAGTTAGTATGCAGTAGGATTCTTTATACTACTCATTTAAACCACAAAAATGGAAGTGCTGGTATTCCCTTAAATACTTATTAAAAGAGAAAAGGGGAAAAAGAGGAAAGATATGAGATATGAGTCAGAGGAGCTGAGCGTTACGATAGGAATGTTCAAAAAAAGAAAAACATAACTACAGTGTCATACGAGTATGTCATAGGGAGATTTTCAAAGAATATCATAAGAAAAGTAAATGAGAAATGTATTTGGGCACAAATTGAAATACAGGAAATTCTAGTTGGAGATGAAAAAAAAAAAAATCATACAGTAAAGGTGGTTGAATCCTGGAAGATGTTGCCCAGAGATGTCGTGGAGTCTCCATCCTTGAGGATGATCAAACCCCGACTGGACGTGGCCCTGGGCAGCCTGCTGTATCTGAACCTGCATTCAGCAAGGTATTGGACTAGATGATCTCCAGAGGTGTAAAATTGAAAGCCAGGTTTAAATGACATTGAATTAAAGTCTTTAGTACAAGTAAGAAAGAAAAAGATATGATAAAAGGTTCCCTCACTTTGGAAAACAATCTCTTCTGTTCTCATATGGTGTAATATAAACTATACTGTCATGACGGTAAAGTATTTGATGTTACTTTTGATGGTAACTTTAATATCTAAACTATGATAGCTCCATAATCTGTAGGAGGCTTTGAAAGGCACGTATTATCTAAGAATCTAATGCAATCCAACTAAACGCTCCATTTATTCCCCTTATCAGGCAATGAATTTTCTTCACAGCCTGTGTTACCATGGGTTTTCTGTCTGCAAAAATACACCTTCTACCCTGTGTTCCCGCTGCATTAAAAACAAAACACAAACTGGGGAGACAGCATTGAACTGAGTATCACAGACTATTTTTCTGGCTATCCAAGAATTCAAATTTTTCATCACTTTTTGATAAAAGTAAGTACTACTTCAGAAAGTTTATAACTTGTTCAGTTTTGAGAAGACAGCCATTCCTTCCCAGAATCCTTTTTCCTCTTAAAAAATACTTACGCTCAACCACACTGAAAATGTAAATTTTCAGTCTTTTGAAATGACACATTAAACAACTCACACAGCAGAGAAAAAACAAACACAACCTAGTATGTTTTTTCAATTGCTCATATATAATGTGTGTCTCATTCATTCTATACGCTATTAAAACAAACACAGGAAAACTCCAAACTTGTATGTCAATGATCGGTTACAGAGAAGTCAAAAGGTTTTATTGTTTACCTGTTGAGGCTATGTGGAAATACTGATATGGAATATTAATTAGCCAGTGAAAGGAAAGCAGTGACACAATTAGCAGCACAAAAGCTGATGTTTAAAAACAATCAACTCTCAACTCACCAGAAATGCTTGTTAGGTTGTTCATGTTAGGTTCATTTGGGGATATTAGCTAATAGTAATGCTATTTCTGTAACACGTAACAGTTTCCTGCTTTTAAAAAGACGACTGCTTTTAAGAAATATACAGCATAATTAAAGCTATTGTTGAAAAGAAGGGGCAGACTATAGTAATGGAATAGCAAGTTAGTCTTGTTGAGTATGTATAATCTGTCGATTGTAAATGTTGAGTTTGCCACTTACATTCATCGGTAATCTTGTCAATTTAGTAGAACTCAAGAAGTTAGCCTGCTTCATGTTTCTGTGGCAAAACGGGAAAAATATCACATAAAACAGTAAGCGCTCCAGTTCCAGCAGGATACAGAGCACTGCTGCAGATTTTGAACAAACTGCAGGACCATCTGCAAAAGTGGAGTGTGCCGAGTGCTTCTGTGTGCGCAGATTTTACCTCGTGGCAAAGAGGTGAATTTATGAAAAATGGTGAAAACAGGAATGCAAATATCGGTTCACACACAATGCGGAAAAATAGCAAACACATAGCAGATGTAACATGAGGAAATGAAAGCAAGTTTAAAATGTAGTTATTTTGGGGAATAGATAGGCAGGGAAACCTTTTTCCATGGTTTTATATGCAAAGGAATGTCTTTCTTCTAGCTCCGACCATACAAGAGAATAAACCTAAAATATTTTAGCAATGAGAGATGTATATTTGTGTATATACAGCATGTATGCATTGACAAATAAGATTTCTTTTCTTGGTTAAGCCAGCATAAACCAAGAGTAATTTAGAAGCCCAGGTTAATACTGTTAACTGAGATCAGGATTTCTTCCACAGATTGCACCTATAGTAAAGAATCTGTACTTGACTGCAATCAGTGAATGAGAGAGAACTTTCACAAATACTCGTGTAAAGTGTTCATAGCAGGCAGAATTAAAGACAAACCTTTATAACCACTTAATTTACTTTTTCCACTAAGCCTTAAAGGGCATGCAAACTTTGTGAATTGAAGTGAATTTCACCTACCAGGAGAACCAACAAACATTGTTTCTATACTCTGCTAAAATCTATAAACTCTGTATTATTTATTAAAAACTTTGCAATTTGCATGGGGTATGATCTGCAAATACAAAACAAACAGGATTTTAAACAGGATTCTGTTACTGAATACCAACTTAAATAAGGCTGTTAATGAATGACAAGGAATGCATTGAGCCAACCACTTAGTAATTCTCAACAGTCTTACAAAAATAAAGAAGATGCGTGTCATAAAAAGTACCATGATATTTTATGTTACTGTTTGTTTTCTTCAGGTAAGAGCAAAAGTGTTATGCTCAGCGTGGTATCTTTAAAGGTGGAACAGATGACTGACCCACGTGGAATTTTGCATTCTTTGGGAAGAAGTTACCAACCGGTCAGTAGTGATATTATAATTCATCTTCAAAGAAAGTTTTTAGGATGTTTTTGCATTTGAGGCTGCATTGCAACATTCATCACCTTTCAGTGCTGGATGTACACCATGAGCTGTTCACTACAATCCTCTTAACCGATGACGGAATGGACAGGTAGATGAAAACTACAATATAGACTCCTTTCACCAGTCCGTGTCGAGAGGAGCTGAGGTCTATCAGCAAAGGATTAAGTATGCAAAATACCTCTACTTTTGTGTTTTCTTCTTGTGATTTAGTTGGTTGTCTCTATTGGTATTAACCTAGCAGATATTCTAAAGACCTTAAAAATGAAGTAGTCCTAAGTGGTACGACCTAAAACATTTTACCGATATGCTGATGAATCATTAGTTCTTAAAAACGAGTGTATTCTATTGATGTAACCAAAACAATCTGCACACATTTTAAAAATATTTATTAATATTACCACGTTGAAATACGTAAGAGCTACTGCAATATCCCTCAGCCGTTAGCACTTTGTTGCTCCATATATCAAACTTCTGTCGCACCGAAGACAGTGAATTCCATTACTAGGATTGTATGATCCTGGGCTGCATACAACTATGGACAAAAAAGCCAAGGAAAAAATGTGGAATTTAAGTGATATTAATAAAAAGTATTTTAAAATGCATCTTTATCTGTTTGAAAAAAGATCAGATTTTTTCCAGCATTCTGCTAGTTGATGATGAAAAAATTGTATATATTTTATACATCATCTATTTATTACACCGTATTTTTGTCTTCATTACTTTTCACTCCATCTACCTACAGCGAATATGTCCATCAATTACATTTTAATATGGCCTATATCCAATAATGTTTTAAATAAACTGCTAGAGCTGCTTGTGTAAGTAATAGAAGACGAAATAAAGCTGAAATCTAAGCTCAGATAATTATTAAGAAATAGTGCAAAAATAATACATCAGCCAAAAATCAGTGTATGATGCAGAACAAGTGTTCTGAATGAAACATTTGTTTCCTGTTGGATCACATTATGCCATTTGATGAAGTCTGTACAGTCATCTGCAGAACGACTTCTTCACAAAAGACTAACTCAGCATTATGCTTTTGGCAGAAAAAAGCAGAATTTGAGCTATTTGGTTTTGACTATCCTGAATCATACTTCAGTCTGGCAATGGTAGCCTTTCTTTAAGACAGATCTTTAATTAACAGCATTAGCATTCAGTATGCAAAGGTAATTAAGACCTTCCTTTTGCAGAGTCGGCGCTTACCTGGTTATTGGGTTTTGCCTGGCTTAGTAATCACTTCTTAGTCACTCATGCACAAACCTTCAGCAGGCTTTTGCGTATTTGGGTTGTTTCGCTATTTGGGTTGGTTTATCTTCGTTGGTTGAGGCTGGCAGGATTCACTTGATCCCCAGTGGCTGTTATTAGCTTGCCTAGCATTTTTTGCCACTGCTATTGACTGAAGAGGGTTTTAGAGGTCGTATGAAATGTAAGAGAGAAAGGAGCCCTCTGCAGATGATGTCAAAACCTTGCCTTTTTTGTACATTAGTATGGGCAGACCAAGAAGAGAAAAAGAAAGCTTTACAAATACATGTAACTAAAGGCATTTTCCAACCTTTCTGTTTGGAAAATCAATCGTCTTGTGTACCAGAGGAATAATTCTACTCCTTTTATTGACGATTATAGGAACACTTCTAGTAAATCCTTCAGAATTTTCAGTTTATTTAATTGGAGCAAGGTAGACTTCTCTTACAATGGGATAAAAAGTTGATTTCTCAGAAGCATCATCTGTTTGCTATCTAGCAGAAAGCATGAAAAAGAGAAAGGAATCTGAAGTAGGGACCTGTAGCTTATTTAGCCAGCTGCTGGAACGTTTCTTTAACTGGGAAACTTCACTTGTTTCAATCTTTTCACTAATGGAAAACTCCTATTGGTATACCTTCACTTCGAAAGTATAAACATCTTAGCAAAATACTCTGTCTTCACAGAGTATTTTACATACTTGCCACTTCACACCTCACAAACTGAAATGCACACAACGTCTTAATTTGTTCTTTTATCCTATAAGCTAACTAGTATTTTGCACTCTCTTCTGATTTTTAGGACTGTTTCAATATTCTGTTGAATAATGTATTTCCTTTTGAACTTTCAAGTTACTATGTTTCGGTAATATAAATAATCACCATACTGTGAGAAAGAACTGAAGAAAACCAAATTAGAACTGACTATTCAGTATCTAGTCTACTAAAAATACCACAGAAATCAAGCTCTGCAGAATAATAATACAGGACAAAAAATATTTCATAAAGCTAGTACAGGGTATGATTATCAAATTGTATCTCCAGAGAAGCCCTAAGAAACATAGGATATTTTGTACTGTATTAATCTCACAGCTGCATCTGATTAAAAAAAAAAATTATAAAGTAGAAAAATTCTATTTAAAAATTTTGATGACATGAAAGTGACTCAGTTGTCTATGTAAACTAAAATTTAATGGTGGATCATACCTCATGTAGCTGTTACCAAAATATTTAATTAACTTATTCTGGAATAATGTGCTTTATTTAACATAAAACAGGGCTTTAAAATCAGAAAAACATTAAAATTAAGATAAAATAATTTTAAATAATTTCTAAGATGTTTGTACTCATCAATTCTGTTTATTCAAGACTGCTTTACAGAGGCAGAAGACTAAATGGGATTATTAGTCAGCAGTAACTCCATGTCTTTAAGTCATTGCCTCTACAAAATCACTTGGTAAAGGGTTCTGCCTGATAACCCTGGTTCTGGTTCTGGTACCTGATGAGCAAAATTTTTATATTTTTTACCACCAGTGTTTTCTGCCAAAAAGATTTCTGTAAAGATAGATACATCACACAGTGACTAATCAGGTTAACATGTTTAATTGACTAATTCAGAAAGAGATTTAGACTACAAAATGGGAGCAGAAGGTGAGACAATAGCTCAATATTTAATGCAATTTTAATATAAAAGCAGAGGGGGGAAAAACAAAATGAGGATATAGTATGATATAAAAGAACATGAGACTGAAGCATGGGGAAGAAAATGAATGCAAGTTCTAACACAGGAGATTTAGATTGGTAGATGATGTGGTAAGTGAAAGGGTTATGCTTAGTGCACAAATTGTGTGATGGCAGTGTGAAATAAATGACGCATTGTTCACAGAGCACTGCACAACAGCATGGAGGAACCGGAACTACTAGAACACTACGTGAAACTAAATATTCTAAAAATAATAGAGGAAAGAGAACAGGTGTAACTGAACATCCAGCTATTTTGCGGTATTTAAAAATAGAGTAGGTTTGTTTATGAAACCTGCAGAAGATACGCATAGGGGTTTTTTATTTCTCCATGTTCTCCATGTTCTTGGGCTTACTCCATAACCTTTTCCATTATGTCATATCCTTATCAAGACCTGGAGACTAGAAACAGTTGCACTATTCAAAGGTTAATGTATTTAAATTAGAAAGTCTGAGTAACATGTGTTTCCATGTTCCAAACTAGAACTGGCCCATGAAGGAGTAACACAGATGATAATCTGAGGTTTGCAATGTATCTGCGGTGATACCCGCTGGTGCTAACTTATGGCTGGTAAGAAATGTATTATAAATTTTTCAGAAAAGGAAAAAAGAATCCAAGAAACCACAGAACAGCTGATGAGACTGATATACTATGTAAAGATTTCATGAATGACCGCTGACACACATGCAGGTAAGCGGAAAGTAATAAAATTTGATGGTTTACAATGAAGATAAACACGTAATTAATTTGAAAGCACCTGATATGACAGCACATACAAATGTAATAAACTACAGAAGAATACAATTAGAATGAAATTTAAAAAAGAGTACTGAATGATGCTTAAAAGGGAAATAAGAATTGGAGAGAAATTGCTAAAGGGATTGCTCATGAGCTTGCTCTTAGACAGACTTTACTAAATATTTCTGCTAACAAGATTATCAGAAGAAGTCCCAATGAACTATGCTGAGAACGAAACTGGGAGAAGCTGTAAACATGGACAAGATTTAAATAGGCAGGAAGAAATAAAAGAATGAGAAAGGCCTGTATATTTGTTTAATTAAAGAGGACTGTGAGCACGATCAGTCACAGTGAAAAGGGGAAGCGTGATACTGTTACATCATTTGAGAGGGAGCTTCTTAGGACCAAAAGAAAAGCACTAATGATGTAAAAGGCACTGGTAAGAGCTCATCTGAAATACCATGTTGAATTCGAGTCACCCCTGTGCAAGAATATTAAACTCAAAATAGGGCATGTGAGATAGAGGTTTGCTGAATGCAAACTCTTACAAAAGCAGATAGAAAGTAGTTGTCTTGTTCTGATTACAAAATAGGAGACAAAAAAAATCTACTTAAGCTAAAGGGCATTCTCCCCATCAGGGCAATGAGCATGAACTTTCCATGAATTAATTTAGATTGAAAGCTTGATCTTCTAACTACAAAACAAGAGTAGCTAAAGGGACCAAAACTCCCAGATAGTTCTAAAATGGACCTTAAAGCTGTTCTAACTGGATTACAGGACCTGGTTCCTGCAACTACAAGGGAAACTATTGGATAACCCAAGAAGTTGAACTCTGCTGTACTTCCATGGAAGTGTGTTTATCAAAATGTTTCTGTGAGTAAGTGCATGTTTCGGAAAAAGCTCCTCCACTAACAAAGATACAGGGAAAATATTTTATTTTCTATTTAAGTAACAGATCTAGGGATTTTAGCAAATTACAACTAATTCTCCCATGTTAGCATGGTCTCCTGAGAACTACTGCATGAAGTTTGAGGCACTGAAAACAAATGTAGAGAACCTATAGTGGACAGTAATCAGGGTGAACAGAGGTCTATCGAACACGACCAAAAAGACTGAACTTGAGGTGGTTTAGTTCAATGAAGACAATATCAGAAAAAGAAAATGGTCAGACTCTTCTAGGATATACAAAAGTTGTTTCAGAGATGAAAGTTAACAGAATCGTTTCCAGATTTACTGAGACAGAACAAGAAGTAACAGGTGTAAACTACATCAAGGGAAATTACATAAGTATCTTAGAAAAAAGCTTTCCAATGGTCAGGATATGCAGGACTGAGTTATATTTCCTTGGGAATCTATGTAGTCTTCTGAGGTTTTAGAGATTATGCAGGACACATCTGTCAGGAATAACTGGAGCTCCTATCTTGCCTTGAGGTAGAATGATAAGCAGAGGACCCTTTCAGTTTTACTGCCTATGACACGGTGTTTTGGATTCTGGGAAAGGAAATTGCTAATTTTACCGAGAGGTCAACTAAGGAAAAGTGTATGTTTAAGCATGCTGACAGAATGACGTCCTCAACTACGGGAAGCAGTAATCAGTCAAGTTTCTGGGCTGACTGTTTCAGATTCTTAGGTACCTCAGATGTGAAAGCTTGCCCCTGTATCTGCCAAAGAGGTGTCTGTTATGATCCCAGCTGAACAGATCAGCTTCTTGGGTTGACACTGGTGTAGGGCTGTGTAGTGTTTCTGTCTAGTGCAGGACGTAAAGGAGCACGGCATCTAAGAAAATAGTATTAATTTTTACTACTTACGTTGAACAGCCACCAGAGCTAAGATGAAAGTTGTGCTTTGAAGAAAAAAGGAATACAAATTAGTTAAGAATGGAGTAAGATATTCTGGGGGAAAGCCCAAAACAAAACTGCAGTCTGCACAAAACAAATCATCCTAAAGAAGACATGCTTTTCTAAACCTGATTTTCATGTAGCTTTCCTTGAAATCATGTGCAACAATATGCTGTATTACAAGAAATGTAATAAATTTTATATTTATGTATATCCCTTCCAGATATTTGTCACTTTTTCCTGGAAGACATGGACCAAAAAATTTAAGTTCCTTCTGATGAAGACAACAAATTGGAAAAAAGGATCATGGAAACATTTTGCATGTCCTGCAGTTTTAGAGTTGTCTCTGTCTTCTTCCATATTCTTATTATTCCTTTTCAAAGTGTATTCCATTCTGTAAACTGTCGTTCAATATGTAATCCAGTGTTTTCTTTCACCATTGCTAGGTCTGTAGGGAATCATCTCTGTCAAAAGCTTGACTACAGATTTATTCTCTATGTGTCTTGTCTTCCATTGTTCCCTTGAGACTTCAGGCTCAATATTTGGGAATCATATGAATAACCTTTTCTTGGGCGAAATGCAATCTGCCAAAGCCACTCTTTAAAACACTGATCCACTCCTTAGCATCTAAATATCACTAATTTTAATATTACAAAAATAAAATTACCAGAATTCATTCTCCCCCTTTCCTTATTCTTCCAGATGGATCACAAATTTTTACAAATTTAACTTTATTTTCAAAGCTATACAGAGTGATTATTTTATCTATTATTCTTACTTTACTCAGCTCTGGAATGTAGCATTTAAGTTTGTAATTAGATGAAAGCATTGCATTATTATGCCCCCTTTTATAAATTTAAGAACAAAAATAATTGTCTTGTTTGTCTTACCGTAAAACAGCACTTGAAACATACCTCGTCAGATTACAGATTTTCTGTGCTAATTCCAAAAAACCCCACTGCTATCTAGAGGTCTGAATTTAATCTGATTGATTTTAATTTAAATCAGTCCATAGAAATTGTGGGTCTGGATTAAAGTCTAAATCAACAAGGTTTTAAGAAAGTTCTACCCAAGTACTAACCTGATCTAGTGCTGGTTACCTTGACAGACTTGGCAGGATCACAACCCAAAACAATATGGCATAACAATTTTATAGTTAAATAGCAAAGTACTGAGTTCAATCAGAGCAAAAAACATTGTTACAGATTTAATACTTTGTATGATAAATGAATTTGTCACTTACCACAACACTCTGGACAGCCTGGATGTATTAGAGCATTCATTGCATACCCTGGAAAGCAGCGATCAACCCATACCATTTGCAGAGTACCTTCAATGTAGTATATTTCAGGCAACGGTTCAGAACTTTTCCTGCTAACTTCCACTTGTTGCTTAAAAAATGTCTCTATAAGGTGTTTTGCCTAAATTAAAACAAATACTATTTTTTCAGAATCTTTGATGGAAAGAGGTCAGAATACAAGAAAAGACAAAAGAATGTGAGTATGAGCTAGGATTAAGATTTAAAGGATGTATCACTAAATCTTTCGATTATAGCTGAATGGAAACAGGAGGACAGTCTGATATTCTTGGATATCACAGAACCACAGAATCACAGAATGGTTTGGGCTGGAAGGGACGTCCTGAGATCATCTACTCCAACCCCCCTGCTAAAGCAGGGTCACCACATTGCACAGGGTCATGTCCAGGCAGGTTTTGAATATCTCCAGAGAAGCAGACTCTACAGCCTCTCTGGGCAGCCTGTTCCAGTGCTCTGTCACCCTCAAAGTAAAGAAGTTTTTCCTCATACTCAGATGGAACTTCCCGTGTTTCAGGTTGTGCCCGTTGCCCCTTATCCTTTCGCTGGGCACCACTGAAAAGAGTCTGGCCCCATCCCCCTGGCACCTGCCCTTAAGATATTTGCAAGCATTAAGATCCCCTCTCAGTCTCCTCTTCTCCAGGCTAAACAGACCCAGCTTTCTCAGCCTTTCCTCATAAGAGAGATGCTCCAGTCCCCTAATCACCTTCACAGCCCTCTGTTGGACTCTCTCCAGTAGTTCCTTGTCTATCTTGAACTGGAGAGCCCAGAACTAGACACAGTAGTCCAGATGTGGCCTCACCAGGGCAGAGTAGAGGGGGAGGATAACCTCCCTTGAAGTGCTGGCCACACTATTCCTTATGCACCCCAGGATACTGCTGGCCTGCTTGGCCGCAAGGGCACATTGCTGGCTCGTGGTTAACTTGTCCACCAGGACTCACAGGTCCTTTCCGCAGAGCTGCTTTCCAGCAGGTCGACCCCTAACCTGTACTGGTGCATGGGGTTATTCCTCCCTAGGTGGAAGACCCTACACTTGCCTTTGTTGAACTTCATT